ACATCCACCTAGCATCCACCTAACATCCACCTAACATCCATCTAACATCCACCTAACATTCACATCCACCTAACATCCACCTAACATCCACCTAACATCCACCGGCTTCTTCTGGGTTCTCCACTTCAGCACAGTCTAAATGCACTTTTACAGGACGCACACCTCTAAAACCTGAATAACTTGTCAATATACATCCTGAGAATGTGTTTAATTCCAGATTTTATAAAGAGATTTACTGTTATGCAGAGAAAGTTTTCAGCCTGGACAAGAAGTAGGTAAAAATGTTCAGACAAAAATGGAAATTCTTGATTTAATTTGAAGTTTATTTTGTGTGTTTTGCGGTCGTCTGACTGTCTGGATGCTCGTCTCCTGACTGTAATATTAGATTTTTGTCCCTTTAACTGCCACTCTCTGCTACCATCATTGTTTTATTGTCTGAACATTTGAATAAAACTGTTCTTTTAAAAAAAAGAATAAAAACATGTTAATTCTACTTTTCCATAACAGATGAGCAGCTACTTGATCAACCCTGTGGTGAGATTATTGTCTCATTCATGCTTCATGTGTACAATAATAAACGGTCGCCTCACAAAACAAAACAACACAAATCGTATTCCTGCACTATAAAAACCAAACTGAAGTATTTCCAGGTATCAAATCGCTGAGCTCTCCATCATGTTGAACTATCAGCAGACAATGAAACTACAGCAGGGACTTTTTAAACCTCAACTTACTGTCTGAACTCAGCGTCAGCCAGCAGCTCCTCCACCATCGTCCTCTTCCTCTCCTTCTTGGGAATACGGGAATGATAGAAGTCCACTGGGTTGTCCACCACCGTACCGACCTGCATCGCACACGTCAGACATACGTTACACTCATGCACGATGCACAGATCGAGGTTTCAATCTGAAAAGTAGAATTCCTGCAGCCTCATGCACGCCAACTTATGGAAAGTCTGGAAATTACACAGAAGAATTCTGCAGAATATCGTCTAAATTTATCAAAAAAATAATCATATACAGTTGAAACCAGACGTTTACGTGCACTGTATAAACAGACACATAATTAACTTTTAATTAACTCAGATGTTGTCAATCAACCAATCAAAAGCTTCCAAAGCCATGACATCATCATCTGGGCTTTCCCAAATAGTAATCTTAGTGGATGTAAACTTCTGACTTTAAAGAAAGTCACATAAAGTTCTCTCTCTCATTATTCTGGTGTTTAGCAAATAGAAATAATTCTGGTAATCCTAACTGACCTGAAACAGGAAAAGTTTCGTCTGATTTCATGTCAGATAGTGAGAAAGAAAAAGGTTTTATGTCTTTTCATCCAGTGGATGTAAACTTCTGGTTTCACATGATTGGAGTTCATTCAGATGTTGTGCTGCAGCCAACATCAGATTGTGTTTTGTTATGAACGTCTAATGCATTTTTTTTTTTATCATTAACAGTCTACTGATTCATTTTCTATGGTTTTTTCCCCATTGGATTATACATTCAAAGAGTTATCCAAACTACAAATCTTTACTAATGACCTATTATCTCTACTTAAATACTGTACTTAGACTTTTTAATGCTCTTCTCAAGTTTTGCACTTCATGTGTTTGACCAGCATGATACATGAACATTAATTGGACGTTCTTTTGTACGTTGGTTCCTTATATGTGACGTGCAGAAGCTACTGGATACCTGGAATAAAACATCTAACAAATAGCTGCTAGATGTTTTTTAAAAAGCCATTTTCTGTAAATTTGCGATGCAGGCGAGTGACGCCACCGACCTGGAAGTATTTGGGAAAGCCGTCCCGGTCGTTCTTCTTGTAGAACCTCTTGGGGTCCATGGAGCCTCTCATCTTCAGAACCTGCAGGTCTCCTTTCAGCTCCTGAGTCATTTCCGGGGCCTTCATATTGAACCAGCCGTCTCCTGTAGTCTTCTCCCTCTCCACCTGACAACAACAAGGATTTCGCTGATTTAAAACCACGTTAACGGCACCGGACGTCCAGGTTTGTGACACGAATCAGGGATAAAACTTTTGCAGACAGAAGAATCCACAAATCAAAGCATCACTTTGTTGAAACTTACTCTGCGTTTTAACTTTGCTTTCTGTTTGGATTCAGTGTACGGAGGCACCGCGTCTTTCTTTTCAAAGTCTGGTCCAATCACGCTCTTCTTCATCACCTGCGGACAACGACAACAAAAACACTGCAACGTTGAAAAGGCACCAAACTCTGTGAACACTCGGCTACTCGGAGATAAAAGGTCAAAGTCAGAAAGAATTGGAAAATAACAGCAGCTCAGGTGTTATTGGATTTACTCGTCCTTGCATAACCACGAAGTTCGTTATTCATTCTGCATCGCAGATCGCCTTCAAAAGGGGAAAAAAAATCAATGGCGTATTTACCTCATCTTGGATCTTCTTTTCCTTTAGTTTTTGCAGCGAACTGGAGACGGGTTTTGATTTGCTGCCATCAAAACTGATGTATAACCCCCCGAGCTGCTTCACTCTGATGCCGGGGTCAATACGGCTGGACATCTCTTTCCTGAAACAAATAGGCGCCGAGAAAATTCTTCAGGAGCTGCAGAGTCTCATCTCTCACTTCTGAACAATAATAAAATATGACGTCACACTAACAGGCCTCTGTGCTGCAGAGCTCCATGCTCCTTCATTATTAGTATTAAACACTGTTTACTGCATTTCCTGCTACCAAAAGCACTCAGTACACCAAATGTGCAGCTGGAAATAGTCCCAACAAACACTGCATTTACTGCAACCGCATGAGAAAACTATGGCGCTGTTCTAGCAGTTCTGGGGTATTATTGAGCTTTTTTATAAAATGAAACTCTGGGGCTGACTGAGTAAAGAAAACTGAATGTTGTTGTTGGTTTTGATCCTTTCTGGGATTTTCTGACAGTAGCGCTGCTCCCATTGTTCATGCTGTAGAACCAAACGTTGTCTTATTTCTGCAGGACCGGGTCACTTTGTCCAATAATGGAAGAGTTTAGTTCAGTGTTATACGTCTGTGGCTTGTCTTTAAACATCCAAACACAGACGTGGATGGATTTGGCTGGAACAGAACCCACCTGATGGGTTTTATCGTTTGGGGAAATACGCTTCTGTCTGTCCCACCAACAGACTGTATTTAAAAGAGCCTCAGTGACGCCATCTACTGGTTTGTGGACGACCTTTTGAAGGCTTCAGTTTGGATTTTGTCTCCAGTTTTGGACCACACCCTCAAGCAAACTCTGCTTTATCTCCTCAACGTCGGACCATATTTTACCACATTAACATCACGCTGTACTGACCAAATCCTGAAACAAGCGACTGACAAATCAAGGGAGAGGCACGCTCACATTCTTATAGACGTTTATACTATTAAACTCATCTTTGTAATGGAAATGTCGCCCTCTGCTGGCTGCTAGAGGGAATGCAGGTTTAATGCACTTTACTTTTAATACCAGGAGGACACGTCCATCTTTTATTTACATTCAGTAGTTCTACAAATATCTAGATAAACAAGCTATGCATTAAAACTGTACATGCACATTTCACTCAGTTTACGGATTAAAAATAAATGTAAAAGTAGCTCTACAAGCACCTCGACAGCTCCCGACTTAACATATTCACCCCACTGGAAGTTTGCCCTTTTTATTACTTTCCAATATTGAATCATGGTTGATTTAATTTAAGAATTTACCCCAAAAAAGGTTCTTTCATGTCAAAGTAAAAACAGATTTCTACAGAGTAATGTCCATAAATTGTAAAATAAGCGATCGCACAAGTATTCACTCCATTTAAAGTGACTCGTCTGCATCGACTAAACTGTGACTTAAAGAGGATAAAAACTTCAGCAATCGCTTATTTAACATTTTAATTAACATTGTTTTGTAGAAATCTGTTTTCACTTTGACATGAACAAATCTTGCTGCTGTTTTTCTGTAAATTCTTGTAATAAAAAGCTAATTAAGTGTAAAATCAACTATTTGTGCTTTTATTGGAGCCTCTGTGTCTGCGTTAAGTGTCGATGCAACCAGCAGATTCCTCAGACAGTTCGTATAATATGACATTTTAGAGTTTACCCCTCGAGCTACTGGGTTTTCTGAAGCTGCTGCCAGTCGCTGCCTAGCTTAGCATATTTACTGTACAGACACGAGTGTGGCTTTGAAATTCTCATCTGACTCTTGGCAAAAAGGCAAATATATTCTAAAATACTGAACAAATCCTTTCACAATAAAGCTAGTTCCATCCTTACATGTATTCTCCTAAAGCACAACTAGTTGATGTTAATGTGCAGCGTTACTCACAGTCGAGTGTTTCTGCTGGAGAACAGGATCTGTGCGTCTTCATCGTCCTCCTCCTCGTCCTCTTCATCCACAAACTCCTCGTCCTCCTCCTGCTCGCCTCCTTTACTCGTGGCGGCCTCCTCCTCCCGCCGCCCGTCGTGGTAGTACTGCTCGTTGGCGTCCTGTCCGGGTCGCGTGTCGATCATAAACAGTCCTTGGGCCGATCCAGCTGCTGGTTCTGACCTGCTGGAGGGTTCTCCTCTCTGCTCCACACCGGGCCCCAAATCCTCCTCTTCAGAAGCTTCCCTCTCCTCCTCCTCCTCCTCCTCCTCATCCTCATCATCGTGTTCTTCATCGCTGCTGTCCAACAGGCTGATCACGGTTCTGTTCTGAACCACGACGTCTTTCGGTTCCTGCTCGGGGTCAGAGTCCACAGTGACCTTGTGCTGCTGGCTCGACGTCACCTGAACGGACTCAACCACCTGCTGAGCGTCTGTTGTCAACGTGCTGACTTCCATTTCCTCCTCCTCCTCCTCCTCCTCCTCACTGGGCCGGGTTTCCTCAGCAGCAGCCAGAGGCCCGTCTGCCTGTGGAGCGTCCACACCGGCGGCCTCCATGACGTCCTCCTCGGTGTCCTCGGTGATTTCAGAGGCCCTCTCATCTACTGTTACTGTAACTGATTGGCAAGGCTGAGCCGGCTCTGATGATGGGGCTGTTTCCTGCATCCTCTCCATCTCTGAGGTGTCCCCGGCTTCATTTTCAGCAGACGGCTCCTCCTGCTGGTCTCTGCTAATCACTGCAGGCTCTCCAACGGCACAGACTGAACTATCTGATGCTTCCTTTTCCACTTTTGCTACATCATCCACGACTTCTTGTTCTTCAGCCTTAGTCTGGCTCTCCTCCTCTTCTTCTTCTTCTTCCTCCACCAGCGTGCAGTCTGCGTCCACGCTGATCACTGTGCTTTCTAATCTGGAGTCGTTTAACGAGACGTCCTCCTCGGCTGGTTCTTCAACATTTTCTTTAACGGCGCTGAAGTCTCTGGCCGAGCGTCTGGAGGTCGGAGCTCCGCGGCTGCTGTTCCCTGAGCCTGTCCGGCTGCTGCAGGGCGTCCCTCTGCCTCTCGTCGGGCTGCTCACCGGGGAATGCACATCCGTCACCTCAGAGTCTGAGTCCACGGCTCTAGGACCCGTGGCCCTGCTCCGTCTCCGTGTGCTGATGCTGTAAGTGGGTCCGGACTCAAACCCGTCCGACTGAGGCTCGCTGCCCTCCACCGCCGCCTTCCCTCTCGCCGCTCTGGTCCGTCGGCCCGTCGATGCAGGAGACTGAGAGCCGTCCGACGGCTCGTCCAGGTGCATGGGGATGGGACGGGGCTGCCTCCTGGGTCTCGTAGATCTGCGGGCGGCCGATTTGGAAACTTCAGCTCCTGAGACGCTGGAAGTGCAGCTTTCAGCGCCTGAGAGCTCCGAGTCCTCGGTCTGCTGTTTGGCCGACGTTCTGGCAGGTTTCCTCTGACTTCTGGTGACTCTCTGGGACTCGGACACCACAGAGCTGCAGGACTCCTCAGCTTTACCGTCTCCTTTCTCCACATCAGAACTTTCAGGAACCGTCTTCCTTCTCGTGCTCCGGCGGCTGCTTTGGGGAGGTTTGGATGCCGATACAGCAGAGCAGCACGACTCCACCTCAGACACCTCCTCGTCTTCCTGGCGTGCCGCCCGAGGCTGCCTCCTCCTGCTCCTGGTGCGCATCACCGGTGTTTCTGCGTTGGACGCCGTGGAGCCGCAGGACTCCATGTCCGACACGTCTGCCTCGTGGGTGGAGCCCACCGGGGTGGAGGGCTGCTCCGGACTGTGGAGTCTGGACGCTCTGGTGCATCTTCTTCTCGGCGTGGTGAGGGGATTGTCTTCTGCAGTCTTCTGAAGATGGATGCAGGCCTCCACTGACGCCTGCTGGGTCGGGCTCTCTGCTTGTTTCACAGCAGTACTCCTGGTTCTCCGGCCAGAAGGCGTGGCCTGTGGAGCAGAAACAAGACGGTTAATAATACAGCTGGTTTCTACCAGATGGAGCTGAAAGGACAAACCGCTGACATTCTGTACATATAACCTTTTGTAAACTGCGTCGCTCTGTTGTTGTGTCTCTTAAATGTTTTTAAAGTGTCTGTTTGTGGTTGTTGTTTGCTTGCATTTTCCTAAATTTGTTGTTAGTTTGTTCATCTGATCATTAAAAAGGTCTCTTGTGTGACGAAACTAAATAAAGACGGATAAAAATGAGTGTTTCTTTGCTGAAGTTTATTCTGTTGCTTCCAGCTGTTTATGAACTAAATGCAGCTCCAAGCAGCAGCAGGACTCGTATCTCTAAAGCGACAGCGTTGTGCACATTCACACACATGGAACAACGAAACAACAGCAACTTCATTAGATGCATAAAATTATAAACGACCTCCGACATGGAGACAGATGAGCCGTCACAGTTTATCAGCTGCAGGTCATTTATAATTACAGTATAATAATTAATAGTGTTTAGAAACTCATAAATAAGCTGGGCTGTTTGTTCGTTGGACAGTTTGATAAGCTGCTTTTAGATCAGGTATGAGTACATGTTTATGTATTAAGCATCACGTGATGTGCTGTCCCGTCTCACATGTTTAACTCATATCGTAGCTCATTCATGGAAACGTGACTTTTGTCTGAGTGACAGAATGTGTCGCTCTGACCGACTGATGAAGCAGCAGCGTTACATCCTCCAGGTCTGAAAAAGACTTTAGTTAATGCATGTCAGGTAATTAATGGCTTTAAAACAAGAAACTAAAGTACATCAGAATGAGGTTTGTTAACTCCCTCACTGACACAGTTTCCAACCAGCCTCTAAAACACATCAGAACACCTGAAGTTCAGTCAGGACTTCAGGTTTCAGTGCAGACGCCCAGTATGATCTGCTGCAGTCTGTGCAGGTTAGTTTAGACGTAGAATAATGGATTTATGTTTGAAATACAAGCTAATAAAATGCTGTTGACTGTTGATGAGGGGAGATGATGCCTTTGCAGCAGCAGCTGTGTCTCTGTGTAACTTTAATTTGCACATTCCTGCATTCTGTAAATATTACTTTGATAATTCTTCAAATTTGCTGCATTTATTTGTCGTGACCAACTGACTGTCTGCTGACTTTCAACACCTTCTTAAAAAATATAAATCCTTTTATCCTTCTTTTAGAACTATTTCTCTACAGGTTTACTGTTATGCACCAAAACATCTCATTAAATTCCTCTGATGTGAAAACCTACATGGAAAAAAATTATCATTCTGATTCAAAATATTAAACATTTAAATCAAATGTTTGTCGAAATGTAAAGTTTTACGACAAACCACACAGTGTTCATGGTTTAAATGGCTTTTATTTTTGCTCTCTGTGGTCTAAACATTTCAGTATTTTATTTTTATTTTATTTTATATTTGATCTGAGGAGCTGCTGAGCTGTTTGGTCTCGTCTGAAGGATTTTATAGGACTTATTTCTGGTTAACAAAGTAGATTTCTGTCGGTGCCGGTCTGACAACTTGTGCAGCACTTCGGTCACTGGTTGGTTAAAAACGCGCTAAATAAATAGATTTGATCATTTATTGTAATTTAACAGTAAAAATCTGATTCTAAACTAACTCCGTCCCGCTGTGTCACTTCATGTTTGTGTTTCTTCGACACGTTTACAAACTCAGAGCTGCTGTTTGTCCACGTGAGTTCTGATCAGGTCCATTGATCAGCCACGTGCCGGGCTTCGCTCGCGGCGGATCGAACCTCCGCGTGACCCGTGGCGTGTCCGGGTGTGAACGGAACCCCTCCGTCGGACTCACCTGAACTTCGGCCGGCGGCTCCGGCTCGGTTCTAGTCGGAGAGCTCACTCGGACTCCTCTCCTGGTCGCCACCATCTTGCACGCTGTGGTCGCTCCGCTCAGTTCACTTCCGGATTGTCGGCGAGACGAGACCAGTCGATGAAGAGAGACGCGGCTCAGGCCGAGCAGTCGATCACAGAGCAGCGGAGCCGGACACCAGCGTAAAGGTACAGATCATAGATACAGTATGTATAACAAAGGCCTTATTATACATATCTATGTGGATGATCATTTTAGATGCTCTTTTTATATTTTTATCATGTTTTAAAATGTTTCATTGTTGTTATTTTTTCTTCATTGTTTTGTTTACTTGTGTTATGGATGTGTTGTGTTTTCATCTAGCATTTGTCTGAAGAAAAAAAAATGGTACCATTTGCTTTGTATTGTCTTTCACAAGGTTTTATTATTTTATTATTATTTAGAACGTTTAACTCTTTCCCTCTTTTGTTATGTTTTATTGTTTTTAAGCTTTTCTCGTGTTTTGTTGAATCGTCAAACATTCAGTTTTTCCTTTTTTTATCAGATTTTTTTTTATCCTTTTCCATGTTTTCGTGTCTTTTCTGATGTTTTGTCTTTGTTTTTCCATTTGTTTTACTTTTTTTTTAAAGTTTGTTGTTGCTCTTTAAACTGTTTTATCTGTTTTCATGTTTTATCACCTTTTTAATTTTGCTTTGTTTTTTTAGGTTTCTTATCTTCTGCCTTTTTCAACATTTCCTGTTTTTCTGCTCTTTTTAGAAAATATTCGAGCACCTTTTTTGATTTTTAAATGTTTTATTGTTGCTTTTTAAAAATATATTTATATATTGTTGTGTTCTTGTCTTTTTCGTGTTATATTCTAACTTTGTAAAGCGTAACTGGTTTTTAAAGGCACTACAGAAATTAGGTTCATCATTATTATTATTATTATTATTATCAATATTAATAACAATCATACAAACAACTCTGAGTCCATTTATAAAACTTCATATAGACGTCAGAGGTGGAAGAAACATCCAGGTCTATTATTTAGGCAAACTATTAAAACAGTAAATGTCAGTAAACAATCCTGTAGTATGTGGGACACGTTTAATTTAGATTACTGCTGATTTGTTAAATATAATATTTTGATGTCCCAATAGTTCATGCTTCATCTGCGACCATCAGTTAGTTTCACATGTTTTATATTTAAACTGATTTGTGAGGTCAGTAGTTTCTGTGTTTAGGAACTAAATGCAGTCTTAAAAAGCCGTAACCTTAACCAGGGCTGGATCACTAGACAGGAAGAACAGGAAACTTCTGACGGCTTCCAGAAGCTACAGTTACATCCATCTGCACGAGTCCTGGTCATCTGATGAGCTGCAAAAGTAAAGTGTAACTCAACTAACGAGAGTCCTGCATTATAATGGCTAATTAACTGGGCTTTTATTGTGGAGGGGCATTTATAAGAATCTAGTTTTAGGTTTTAGCTTATAATGTCTTTAAAATGAGCCTATTTCTAAATAAAGTTGTGTAATTAAAATGAAGACAGATTAAAGATGTGAGCAGAGGATCTCGTATAAAAGAGGCAGTCTGAGGATCACGTTTGTTCCCAGAGTCCCTTTAATCAGTCGATTAATCCACGACTCCAACCCAAACAACGCACCCAACTAGAAAACTCAATCAACAATAAACAAATAGCTCTTAAAACACCTTCTGCACCACCTGCTGATCGCTCAGCGGCACCTTCAGGTCGCATTAATCTAATTAATTCAAATTAAAGTTCAAACATGCTGCTGGAAGAAATCACTTCAGGCTCCGTTTCAGATTCATCTGTAAAATTTTAATGTTTTTTTTATCTGTTTAGTTCCAAAGTCAGTCACACTCGGCCGTGTTTACCCCGTCTGTCTTTGTACACCAGTGTTTACGTCAAAAACATGTTTCATCATTTCCAATGAGGCCAATTCCTGATCTACAGATATTTAAATATGGTTACAGTACAACGGAGAGCTTTAGGATTCACTGGACCCTGTCTGGAAAAACAACCATAAATACGAGCTTCTTCCTCAGAACGAACGCTTTCTTCACGTCTCCTTGCTGCGGAGCTTCCAGTGCTTCAAAACCAAACACGAGACGTCAGCCTGGTGAAGGTCGCCGTGCTCGGCCTCGCACGGATCTCATGAGCACGGGGGGTAAACATGTCACGACAAAGATAACGTCAGAGTGGCTGCTTCAATCTGCATCATACAATAAACACGACAAACACGTCTGCGTTTGAATTAGTGCATCGTTTCTCTCAGTTACGGAATGTAAATGACGTATATACACACACACAGAGCAGGAAAAATCTACATCGCATGAATATAATCAGACGTCCCCCCAATGACAGGATGAGGTTCCATTTCTCTGCTCGAAATGGAATCCTCTACGACCAACAGTAGGTTTGCTAGCGCTTGAGCTACTCGTAATCACTTCATCCAGACTGATTTAAAGCTTGATTCACACCAACACCGTGGAGATAAAGAAGAAGAAGAAGAGGAAGAGGAGGAGGAGGAGGAGGAGGAGGAGGAGGAAGAGGAGGAGGAGGAGAGGCACTTCACGTCACGGTTCACCTTCACCTCGGACCAAAGTTTAGTCCCGTCGTTCTGATCTGTCAGCGGTCAGAGTGGGCAGCGAACATCTGCGAAAGTCGCTTCGTCAAGTCTTTTCTGAGTCGGTCTCGTGAGTTCACCTTCCTGTTTTTATTTTTAAAACCTCTGAATACCTGCATCTGTAGAAGAGAATAAACGATAGAAGAGGAGGAGGATTGATCTGTGAGATAAAACAAAGACTTCTTGGTGAGTGGCGCCTCCGTTATTCAGAGCTGCTGCTGCTGTGTGCTGTTGTGTGAATGGAAACAGGAAAATGGCTTCATCCCCGCGTCTCGTCCTTCGGCCGGCCGCGCTACGGGCTCGCCTTCCTGGCGCTGACCAGGTAGCCCTTGGACTTGATGATGCCTCGGCTCTTGACGATGATGGAGTAGCGCAGGACCCACTCCAGCCTCCAGTCGGCGACGCTCAGGCCCTGAGCTCCTTCCTGCATCGCCTCCTGGAACGTAGCCGCCGACATCAGCTCTGGAGAAGAAAAGAAGAAGTTTAAAACTCACTGGAAACAAATACAGAAACACTTATTATTCAAACTGGGCAGTCGCAGTGCAGACTGTTATTGAAGCTAAGGTCTTCCTACTTAAGACACTAACGTTTTTACCTTTAAAAGAGTGAAATTAAAAATAATAATAATACAAATAATTAATTAGCCCAAACAGAACTGCAGACTGATTGTATTAGAAGCCATTTCCAGTCATGAATAAATATAAATTTGGAGATAATCCATCTCGTTATCTCATGTTTAACAAACTTTTAAACACGTTTCATGATTTTAATGAAATCAATTGATGATTTCTGAATTTAGGATTTATGGAACACTATTTTTAAAAAATGTGTTTAAAGTTTTATTGTCTTTATAATGTTTAATTGTTCCCTTTCTTTGTAGATATATGTTAAAAATCATTTACTAATCATTTATTTTTGTTTATTTGTTTGATCTCTTATTTCCTTTTTTACAGTTTTATAGTTTGTCTTTAATAAAAACAAAAGTTATAGTTTGAAATAAATTGCAGCTTGTTTTCAAATGTTTTCTTATGTTTTACTGGCTTTTTAACATTTTATTGTTCTTTTTTGAAAACATATTTTCTACTTTTGTCTTGTTAAAAGTTTTCTTTTTTTAATACCTATATAAAGTTTGTCTTTTCCCATCTTTTATTGTCTTTCCTAGGGATTCCTAAAAATTTACATTTTTAAAAAATATTTTATTGCTGCTCTTTTGGGTTTTTTTTTTTCATGATTTGTCTGGATTTCCAGCACTAGAAGCCAAACAATGAGACTTTTCATCTATTAACATCTTTGTACACATCAACAAATCTCACTACAGACACATTTACAGATAGTTTTCCTACAATAAGACCCCCATACTTCATCCTAAACAAAACTCAAACCTGGACTGATAACAAACATCCACCAGTGAAAGGTTTTGTTCACCTTTGGGGTCGTTGTGCGTGAGCAGCTGGATGTCGAACTCTTTAGCGAAGGCCGTCAGGTCCGGAGGCATCACGCAGCAGGAGGCCAGGTTCACCTGGTTACTGCTGGGCTTCACCTGCTCCGAGACAGGACAGAAAACCTCAGCGAGCGGATCTACAGGCTGCCAGGTGTGTCAGCGGCGCTCTGGTCACAGCTCGCTGCGTTTAAAGCTGCCGTCTGACCTTTAGTCACGAGTCAGCGCTCTGCTGCCAGATGACACACATCAGGCCTCACGCTGGTCACTTATCTCACATCAGGAAACTTCTACACCAGGTTCCTCTCAGACATGTCGAAGCTTTTATCCCATAACACGTGGATATTTAGCTGTGAAATCTGACTTTTCTTTAAAAACTGCAGGTTGATCCACTTTGAGCACATTCAACTTTAAGGCTGTTTGAAGGACGACGTCTCTGAAAGTATTAAAAATAAAAGTCGTTTCTCATCATATCATTGAGTTAGAATCTGTGGTACATGTGATGTTCAGAGAGACGTTATCAGGTTGTAATAAAAAGGTTTTATTTATATTCAGAGAACCGTTTAGAACATCCAGAACTTGATTCTACTTTAATCAGACCATTTACTTAGATTTTTATTTTTGTGCTACAACTTGCCAGACTTGATCAATCAGTTATAAAAGTTTAATGAAAACACCTGTTGTCACATTTTTCTGATCAAGTATTTCATATTTAAAGTATTCTGTGTGTGTGGTTGTGTATTATTGAGACGTGCAGCTACATGTGCTTCTACTGTCTGTTAATCTGAGCTCAGAGATGGAACTTTCCACGACAGATTCAGTTTTATAAAACATCTAAACCAATATTTCATCTACGTGTCTCATCCTGCAGATTCTGAACCAATGACATGATGAGAAATAACAGTGAAGATTTCAGGCTTTTATCTTTAACAGTTTCTGAGATTTTGTTCTTTAAACAACCTCAACGTGGAAAATTTGTGCTGAAAGTGTCTCGACAGCCTTTTTCTTCTTTAAATATGTTGAACAGTATTTGATGAATCCATCTAAAACTCCACAGATGCTGTTTTAAATATCGATAGTTTATGTTTCAGAAGTTTCAGGCCTATCAGAGGAGGTCGAGCAGAAGCCCGCTGATGATCTGAGAACCCTCCTACACCGACCTGAGCCCAGTTGTAGAGCTGCTCCAGCAGGTCCTTGTCCAGGTCCGAGGTGCCGATGGCTGCGATCTGCTGACTCCGGACCAGAGCCTCCAGCTGCTCCCATGCAGGCTGCAGGTGGGCCAGACTCTGGCTGTCTCCCTCCAGAGGCCCAGGGGGCGCTATGATCACCGAGTCGAGCTGGGACACGGCCAGCGTCCGGCAGGCTGGAGTCACACAAGAACAAAACAAAAGGTCAGCGTTTGGATTTAGGAGGTCTGAAATAGTCACGTTAAAGTTCTACAGAGACCAGAACTCACCCATCTCCACGGCGTCTCTGATGGACGACTGGCCCGACTCACACAGGAAGAGCTTGACTGTGGAGACAAGGCAGCTTTAAACACATCATCCCCGACGTACTGCAGTTAGTTTATTGACTCTGGTCGGTTCTAATCCGTCGTACTGCTTAATAATTAGTCATTTACTTTTATCCTCCCCTCTGACAGTCATTCAGGGATTTTCTTTACAAACAACTTCGTCAGTAAAATAAATAGAAATGCTGACGTATTCTTATCAGTACCTGTGTGCTTTTTACCAAACTTGTCTCAACAGCTGCACTCTTGTTTGTAAGTCGCTGCATTGTGGAGCCACAAAGAGCAGCTCAGAGGAAGTCGTCATTAAGGCAGCCAGTGTTTGCATGAACACGACTTATTAATACGTCTGTGGAGCTTCATCCAGGTCGAGCTAATCCTCAGGAAAAACCAGCTGGATTCATCTTTCAGCGTCTTGACTTAGTTTCACTTCTCATCCAAGACGCTGCTTCAGCTCTCAGAACTGAACTGAACCTGGTCGTAAAGTGACGCTCCATCTCTCCACAGCAGAAGACTAAAGTGTTGAATGACACGAAAAATGCGTAGAAACGGCACGCGACATGACCTTAAAGGTGGCGTGATATTTATACACTATCTTATCATATCACGTTGGTCGAACACGTCACACCACCGACATGCACGAATATCCAAGAAACACACGAAAAGCCTGCGACAGTCGCTTCAACGCATTTTAGAGAAGCAGCATTTAATCTACTGTGTGACTCTGGAGATTTAAAGCTGCAGTACGAGGTGCACTACAGAAGTATCTCTGTTGTATTTGTTAAAAAAGAAAAAAAATAAAAAGCCTCTTTCCGTCCTCACAAGAAGACAAACACGTGATCAGTGGCTGCCATTAGCCGTGACTCGATAATCGACCCTTAACAATCCCAAACCTGCTATCCGACTGGTTTTTTAGGAAAAACCAACAGCTTTAAACAGGTGCTATTTGATGGCATGTTTCTTATATTAGTCGATATTGGCCTTGAACGGGAGGTTCTGGAAACACGGTAACGTATTTGTCAGTCTTTAGATTTGAGGTAGTTATAATGCATCCAAACACTAAAACCAGAGGTAGACGTGAGCGTCCAGGACTAGCTGCAGCTCTCTTAGTGGATTTTAAACTGTTCTGGAGGAGCGGTTTTAAACGCAGCCTTGAAGGGAGGCTTTTCTTTTTCCTCCTGCTGTTGTAAAACTCTACGTTCTGTTTCTACAATCCTGCAAATCCACACTTTGATGTAGACAACAGAGCCAGCACCGACCTGAAACCTTCACCTCCTCCCTCTCCTCAGGTGTGATGGCATCTGTAGCCTCAGGAAAGAAGCAGTCCAGCGTGTCTGGAAGGTCCTGCACGGTAGAGAAAGAACAGATAGAAAACAAGCACATGGATTAGAGCCTCAGAGACTAAAGCATGATGTTCCTCGTCTATCTGCTCAAGTTATAGGAAACATGCTGCTGCTGCACCTTTTAAGAGTTCAATATCTCCAGAAGTAAAACTCCTACAGGCATGAAGTTTGGATACGAAACAGGCAGTTAAACAATCAGCTGGAGAATAATTCCTTTCAATGACGAGCCTTCGTTGGTTTAGTTTGTGTGTTTGGGCTGCTAACAAACACAACGGACCTGGTTAGTGATGAACTACGAGCTCTGTGGTTGTCTGTCTGTCTGTCTGTGTGGTTAACGTTTGCTGAATGTTTCAACAGACCGCTGCGTTTCTGCTCTGACTTGCAAATGACTTGTTTCTATTGTGGGAACCAACAGTTTCTGCAGAACCAGGTGGTATTTCTGGACCTTCGTCATCTGTGTGATGCTGCAGGTGCTCTGGTCTCTGACAGACAGAACTCTGCTCAGGACTTGGAAAGCAGACGTGCATCATAAACACATCAGACTCGTCTTCTGTTCAGCAGACAGAACGTGCAACACGACGATCTTCCTGCTTTCTAGAGAACATTATCAGAACTGTTTGAGCTCATCGATCCTCCGGTAGTTAAAAAATGTGGCTCTCGACCCCCAGCTGCAGCTCTGTCCGACCTCCCCCGTCTCTGTTGGAGTCCGGTGGGCGTGGTGATAAGAGCCGAGGCAGGTTAGCTGAGCCAAACACAACAGGAACAGCAGCAGCAGCTCCGACACACTTTTAAACTCCACTTCAGAGTTTTCAGAACACATTAGCTCGACTGAATCGTATCACCCAAAGACTGAGACGTTCTAGAAGTCACATTGCAGCTCGCAGGCCTCAAAAACCTCGTCAACAAAAGGGTTTTTTTTACCCCCCACCCACCCCTCAGCGCTAACACACAGATGCACATTTGGAATGACGCCTTTGGCGGGCAGCGCTGCATGAACATTCATCATGACAGATTCTTTTCACTGAGCCCAGAGGCGCTTTGAAGCCCATCGCTGCAGTTATTCTACTCCCCCGAACGCTGGAATCCAACGGGCTGATGCTTCACATGCTGCCGATCCGACCAGAGTCAATACAGAATGCCACTGTGTGAGGAAACACGGGGGAAACTGTCGGACGCTGCACCCAGCTTAAAAAATGTAGACGCCTCCTCACCTTGGACGACGGCTTGTTGGTGGAGAACCAGTCGCTCAGCGTCGCCTGAATGCAGTCCCGAAGCTGAAACAGACACAGAGTTAAGCGAACATCAGTGATCTGTCCTCACAGTCAGCTGCAGCACAGCGTCGACTCCACGCCAGCGTCCAGGAAGCATGAGTCACCCAGTGTTATAAATACTAATAACCAGCTCTGCAAAAGGTCGCTCATAGTGTGGGATAAGGAGCGATAAGGCGGGTTTAAGGCCCAGTAAGTGATTTGTTTTAACATCTGTTTACAAAGGGTGTGTTCGACGGCTGCTGCAGTTGTTTGAGACGCGTCTGAACGAACGAGAAACGTTTGAGTGTCGACGGCAGCAGAAAATGTGGAAACAGGAAGATGTGAAACTGAGGACAGACACAGTTGGTCACGTTAAGTCTCATGAGCAGTTCAGAAAACTGGGCTGCAGACTGGAGGATAGCTGAGTTAGTGCCGCAGGAGGAGAAGTTAAATCACTTCCTACAGCATGTTTCTGCGTTACGTACCACAGATTTAGTAAAATGTCAACAAGGCTGCAACAAACAATAGTTTTCAGATTATTCTCTCAAACAGTCGGTTCATTTTTTGGTGCAGAAAACAGTGAAATGTGCCGACGAGCGTTTCCCAAACTCACGTCTTCAAATGTCTTGGTTTGTCCACAACCCAAAGATATTCAGTTTACTGTCACAGAGGAGGAAAGAAAAGAGAAATATTCAGATTGAAGCAGCTGGAATGAAGAGTTCCAGTTCCAGCTTCTGAAATGTAAGTTTTTTCCTACTTTTATATCAATGTGGAATAAATATTTAGTTTTTTAAACAGGCTTTGAGAAACTGTGACAGCATTAATTTAGGACATTTTATTTTATTATTATTCTAAAATGCACTGATCTCTCTCCAATCAGCAGCGGCACCATCAAACACACGACTCATTCATGGACATTTAACACATTACAGCTCATGTTGAGTCTTGTCTGGTCGGTTTTCCTGTGACTGATGATTATTTTTATCCCTGATTAATCGGTTGGATATCGTCTAGATTAACTGATTACTTATTTCATCTACAAAAACAACCCAAAGACATTCGGTTTACTCACATTAAGGAGTGAAAAAACACTAAATATTCACATTTAAGAAGCTGCAATGAGAGAACACAGACTTCTTCTTCTTAAATAATTATTCAAACCACGTTGGTTTTGAAAGTCAAGCTGCAGCAGAGAACATTTATTTCAACCTCTGCTCTGGATTTCTGATTAAAAGCGAGAAGACCAACTTTGAGCTGAGGTTTGGCAGGAACGACACACGCAGCGATGAATTATAGTCACGCTTCTCATTAAACCTGCTGGTTTACACGACTGACGAGGAGCTACAATAACAACAAAGTGAAGAGCTGCCACGCCTCGTCACAGCGTCCCTGAACTGGAGCCAAAATAACTCGACAGCAGATTAGTCCAAAGGAAACCTATGGCTAACAATAAGCATTACTGGCTGCTCGAATGGGAGTTCTTCACTTTTATGTCATTAAAAATTAAATATCTCTGAGTTTTGGACTGTTGGTCAGATAAAACCAGCCATCTGAGGAACTGTGACATTAAACACTATTTTAGGGCATTTTATGTTGATTATCTACAAAAGACATCCTCATCAGGAGCTGAAGGAGGAAAGACAGAACAGATATCTGGGCATTTATAGATTTCAGCACATTTTGAGTTCTGTTTCATTCCAATAAACTGTCACTGAAGCACCTTTTTTCACAGCTTCAGGTCAATAAGTGCTGTGTAACAGATTTAAACATGTGATGGATCATTTCCACATGAGACACCGTCAGCACTTCAACCATCCTAAAGCTGGAACGACTAATTTAACTGCCTCACATGAGTATTTATGAGGTTTTTAAATGGCTCAGAGGCAGAACAGCTCTGGCTGTGCTGATGCTGAAGAAGAAAAGTTTGTTAGGATTGTTTGTAAACAAAACAGCTTCATGTCTCCTGTAAACAAGTTCAACTATTAAAAATAAACAGAATGCACCTGAAACTGCAGCTTTTGCCTTTTTACTAACAATAGAAGTTGTGATCAGAAACCGATCAGGTGCTGATTCCTGCAGGTGAGATGATGACCGGGTTCCAGCGACCCTTCACCTCATCCTACCTGCACCATAAACTCAGCTAGCTTACATAACTTTACTACTCACTGAACGAGCTACTACACTTTAGCCCACTGACAGTTTTCCAAATATGAGCGAATAAAGTCTGAAATATTAACTTTTACACTTTCCTGTCTAGTTTTTCTACATATTTATAGGTATTATAACCTCCTACGGGCTGTGTTGTTAGTGAAAACCCGCTGGCTGCTCTCAGTAGCCGGTTAAATATGGAGCTAACACGCAGGCTAAGCTAGCTGGCTAACGGTCACCCCAGGTCACCGCCGCCGCCGCCGCCGCCTCACCTCCTCGCTCGGAGACCCGGGACACTTCTTCTTCAGGCGGCTCCGGTTCACCAGGTTCCCGGTGTGCAGCCGGAGCGTCTTGGCGTGGCTCAGCAGCATCGTCGCCTCGGTGTTGTTTACGCTGGTGTTGGGATCCATGTGATTGTTGGCGGCTAAGCTAGCGAGCTGCTAAAACGGCTGCGGGTGGAGGAGGTTCCAGTAGCGGGGAGAGCGGGCCGGAGGACGGCAGGTCAGGCCGGCGGCGGCTGCTGCTGCTGCTGCTGCTGCTGCTGCGGCGGAGGCGGTAAAATGATGGAGTCAGGATGACTTGCAGTCCCTGTTCACTGACCTGCTGCTCCGGTTGCTGCCCACTGGCTGCTACGGAGGTAAGCCGGTCGATGACGCCCACATGGAGGTGTCGGTGAGTGGGCTGGAAACTCTGGTCCGGATCACCCGGAGCTGTAATCAGCCAAACACCGGACCGGATCACTGGAGCGGATCCTGGTTGTGGGAGTGACCCGGTCTGACCGCTAGATGGTGCTGTTGCTCTGCTGCAGAACCAGGATCACAGTCAGGACATCCAAATATGACATTTAATAATACTTAACTAATTAGATTAATTAACTAGTTGAATATGAACTGCATGTAAAACACTGAGATGAACATTTAATAACACTGCAGCTAATACGTGTACTCTGTAATTAACTATATGTATAGATAAGATAGGATAAAATAGAATGCTTTTGTTGTCGCTGTACTTCATTCAGCTAAATTAGGATCGCTGTTCCAGTTGGTGCATTGTAAAACAGCAAAAGTACAAAAACTACACAAAGAGAATATACAATGATGGAAAGATTTTACAAATATCTATATATATAAATAAATAAAAGTGGTAATTATAAATATCAGGAGATGCATTTTTTTTAAAATTATTATTGTTGTGTTTTGTTTATTTTTTCACATTTATTGCACAGCTAACCCACATTGGTATGATTTATTGCACACACATATATTTTAATGTATTTACGGGGGTCTATGTCTTCTGTTTGTGATTGCTCAGCTCTCTTAGAGAAACTGCCCCTGAGACAGTTTGTTCGGACTTTGGGTGACCTGCAGCGCCTGCCAGAGGGCAACAGGTCAAACACAGATAAGATAAGATAAGATAAGATAAGCCTTTATGATTCCCACAGTGGGGGATTTACGTTGTTCCAACAGCAGCGATAGCGCAGCATTTAGGAAACGTTCTACAAAAATGATGAAAATGACTAACGATAGAAAAACACAGTATTGCACAGATTCTTTCTTATAAATGGAAACACTGACCTAAATATTGCACAGATCTTATTGTGCAAGCAGGAAAATACCTCCGTAGCAGATGTTCTAGTAAATGTAGAAGAAAATAGTCCAGAAAATTCACTATAACACCGTAACTACTACATTTATAACATTATGATTTAAATATGTAACACAGTAACTAATGCATTAATCAGTATAATAAACTATACGTGTGATGCTGTGAGCTTTGCATTTAATAAACTAATACATGTAATAACACTAAAAACAACATTCATAACCGTGTAATCAACACATGTAATGAGACTGAAACTAACACACATTATAAATAACATTTTAAATCATATGTGAAACACTCTAATGCATTTATCACCACGACAACTGATGTATTTATCGCCATGACAACTAATGCATTTGCTAATTTTATGAATTAAATGTATAAAACTTAACCAATATATTCAATAATATAATAAACGACATGTGTAACATTGTAACTGTAATGCAGTTATCACCATGACAACTGATGCATTTTATACCATTATAAAATATATACACAGCACAGTACCTAATGCATTTAATAACATTATAAGTAACATTATGAGCTGCATGTGTAACGCTGTAACTAATACATTTAATAATATTAAAGGCTGTACATGTTTGAACTAGTGAGACACCTCCAGGGCACCGGTGCTTGTTTCCATGACTCTGTGTCTTACACATTAAACTGTTGCCATTAAAACTTGATATTAAAGTTGGTTAGAAAGAAAAAACTGTGCTGAACAAAAAAACAACAACTTTGGTTTTAGATTGTGACGCCTGAAGTGGATGTAAAATTGATTTGGTTGCAGCCTTTAACGGAGCTTAAATGTGATTTTCTAGCTTAAATTTCGTGCATCTATCTGCTGTACTTATAAAGTTATGGGGTTAAGAACTGGGGCCTGCAGCTCTGATAGTATTTATAGTGTGAACGTCGAGGGGAGCTTGTACGTTGCTGCAGTATTTACATCCTGTGCTGCTCCGTACTTCTGTTCTATGAGCAGCACTGAACCACTGTGGAGGGAAAAGGCACTGATGTCGATGTGTTAAACTCAAGTCTTTTATATCTGATTGAATAGCTTCACATCCAGAACTAAAAACCTTTAATAAGCACATCAAATTCAGAGTATGCAGATCCAGTAAATTGAATTACTCAGCATGTTTTGCAGCAGTAATAATTATCTTCAGCTCAGGCAGCTGCACCGTTAAACACCTGCATGCTGGTCGGTCTGTAATTATAACCCACTGATGTGATAATGGTATATAAGAAGGGCTGTTCTGCATTAAGGTTTGTTTTATTTCTGCTATTTAAAGTTCACTTTGCAACTCAGATCTTAGCTTAAGAAACATATTTGAGTGCAGAAGTGAAAGTGAAAGTAAGTTTTGAGATCTGACCTGATTTATGATGTTTGTCTTTGCCTCAGGTCTTCTTCTGACTCGTCTTATCCAGGCTGTAGAGTGACTTTCTCATCTGGTCGCACCTCCCACCTTGTCACAGGAACAACATATGAATTATTTTACAATTTACCGATACTCCCCTGAACTCCTCACATAGCAGTCTGCTGCTGTTATCTGTGTTGTGCTCAGACAAGTGTCCGATCAAAAATTACGTTAAATAATAAACTCGGGCGCTCTAATGTCAGATAAATGAAGCTGCTACGAACCCAAAAACCAGCACATGCAGGTGCGTTCACGAGAAGACCTCATTTTAAGCGTAAACACTGCAGCACACTGAAGTTATAAAAGTACGACTTCCCACCACTGTGGTGAACACAGCAGCTTCCTGTTCCGGTTACAGCAACACAAGTACAGCTTCATGATCATCATGCACTCGCACCGATGTGACGGTTTGATATTTCAACTGGCACACCGTCAGAAAGGTTGCAAAGGTCGCGACCGTGTGGGTGGAAGTGTCGTGTTGTGTCTGTTTTTAAGTCATTTTGTCTTTTTGTGTCACTGCTGGTGTCATTTTGTGTCTAATTATGTCATTTTGCTTGTTTTTTTCCATTTTGTGTCTCATTTGGCTCATCTTGTGTTTGGTTTTTGTCATTTTCTGTTTAGTTTGTGTCATTCTGTGGCTGTTTTTTGACATTTTTCATCTCTTTATATCCTTTGTTGTCTTGTTTGTGTTGTGTTGTGTCCCATTTGTGTCATTTTGTGTTTGACTTTTGGCGTTTTATGTTTTGTTTGTCTATTTTTATTTATTTATTTTAATGTTTTTTGTATTTTTCATGTACTTTTTTGTCTTTTGTCAGTTTGTGTCTGGTTTTTGTCTTTTTTTTTGTCTCTTTATGTCCTGTTTTTACTTGTTTTTGTCATATTGTCTTTGTTTTTTTGTCATTTTGTCTTTAACTTCTGTTATTCTGTGTCTGTTTTTAGCGTTATTCGTATTGTTTTATTTTGTCTTGTGTCAGTTTGTTTCTCGTTTGCGCATTTCCAGTCTGGTTTTTGTCATTTTGCAGCTCCTTTGTGTCATTTTGTGTCTGCATTTTGTTGTTTTGTGTCTCATTTGTTAAATTTTGTGTCTGTTTTTTGATGTTATTTGTCTCGTTTATGCCCTTTTTTTGTCTTGTTTGTGTCATTTTTTGTCTCGTTTGGTTCATTTTGTGTCTGTTTTTTGTTGTTATGTGTCTCGTTTGGCTCATTCTGTCTCAGTGTTTTTGCGTTCTGTTTATGTGAGTTTTTACAACATCCTGATCTTGTTTTTGGTTCCAAAAAAGCTTTTGGATTTTACAGAAATTGCAAAACTTTTAACCGTATTTTGGCTAAACAACACATATTCTTTCTCTGTATTTTACTTTGGTGTAGGTTGTTTTAGTTTCCAGGTATTTTGGATTTCTCTCTGGCTTCTGTCTCTTCAGTGGAAACTATCTGCAGTGAACGGTTTGTTAAAGGAGCTTTACTGCTGCAGAGACATTTCCAAGTTTGTGGAGGCTGATCGTGCTCATATTTGACAAAAGAATGAAAGAGTTTCCAAACACTGCTCCTGCTCTTTTTTTCCTGCTTCTTCTTGTGTGATTGTCCCCGACAATACTTCTACCATCAGGGTCACGTGTGGGACAACTTCTGAAACAACTCTGTGCTAAAAGAAGGCAAAACACGACAGATTAGTGGCCTCACAGCCAGAGCTTCATTTAAGGAACAAATAAATAAATGAAGCCCATTTTCCAGTCAAGACACGTAAACATGTCCATTTATACACCACAGTGGGTGTGCGGGTACTTGTTTTTTAATAATCTGGAGAGTCCCGTTTCCCTCTCGAGATGACGGTGCCCTCGAGCACAAAGCGAAGGTCACCGAAGGAAAGTTGTTCCCAATTTTGGAGGAAGAATTCGAGTGGGTGAGCTGAGCTTTGACCCTGCTTCCATGTAACTCTGACAGCGAGCCAAACCTTCTCTCTCGCCCAGCCTAGAAGTCTGATCTCATTAATGTTGCTGCAGAATGACAGGAAATCCCTGCAGTCACGGCTTCAGCTCTCACAGAGAGTGAAGGCTTTGATAGGAACACGTTAAAGCCTGCGGATCTGGAAGGAGACGTTCCACAAACACAATGACGGTCGAACACTTCTGGCGATAAAACGTATTAAATGTGAATCTATGAACCATCCACGTCTTTCGGTTTTGACACCTTGAAACTTGCCCTCAGTGCTTTTGGAGCTCATCCAGACTGATTCGAAGCTGTTTATGTTTCATTTGAAGGCGACCATGAGTGTAGAGAGTATCGAGAATCACTTGTGCTTTTTTAAACTGTGTAGAAACAAACACTTTTCCCTGAGGTTATGTCCTCGGTGTGTTTGCGTCCCGGAATTTGGGAGTTTGAGCGTCTTGATTGTATTTACATTCTGCTGTGTACATTTAGTCCAGCTAAAATTTTCCCCACTTGAATTTTATCAGTGGAAAGTTTAGAAAACCACACCGACAGGCTGCATGCGACAGCACCTCCGATAAATATAAATACAAGCCACTAAAAGTATGTTGCACTTGAGGTGGCGGGAAATGTTTTCTGAAGAGGCTTCTGCACTGAGGTGGAGCGTTTTTGTTTAGAAACATCACGAAACAGTAAACTATGACAACGTCTCCATCACAGACGGGGTTACATCAGGGTCAGTATGTACAGAACCGGTCCAAAAAGCAAAAAGCTGTTATCTTGTGTTGCCATCTTTCCACAGTGAGAATCCTGCTGATGCTAGGAGCCTCAAAAGTTGGCAAAAAGTCAACCAAAGACTATTTTTAAAAGGAAATATGAATACATCCATATATGTACACTTACAGGAACGTTCTGTGGCCCAAATACCTGACAGCTTTGCACCTTTTTTTCCATTTTCAAGGGCCAACAATTCAAAATCCGTCCTCTGCTGGAGCCGTTCAACAATCTGAATGTGCTGGGAACTAGTCTGTCTGTTTCATCAACATATTTCATGGCTGTGGTAGTTGTATTTCTGGAGATATTGAACACTTCAAATGGCTTTCCAGGTGAGAAACATAAAAAACCTCAGGTCTGAAAACATGAAACTCTCAAAAGTCAGCCAAAAGATTTGACATAAACTTTGTGTTGGGGCATAAATACCAAATGACAATAAAGAAACAGCTACAGTTGTGAAAACAGTCTACATACACTTGCAAAGACCACAACAGTCTTCAGCTTCCAATGACTCATTTCCATTTTCTATAATGGAACAATTAAAATGCATGAATCATTTTCACAGAAAACAATCTTCATTTTGGTTCTTTTCTAGATTCATTAAAGGTTTTCTGGAAGCATGATCAAATCTGCTGCATCATAAATACACACAGAGTAATGCTAATATTTGCTTAAGTGTCCTTTGGCCATTTTCACCTCAGTTCATCCCTTTTGGGAGCCATCCACAAGATCTGGCTGCCGTCTACAGCAGTTATGAACCTCAACAGATTCTTGTTGGTGTTTAGGTCAGAACTTTGGGGAGGCCCGTCTAAACTGTAACTGTGGCCTGATCTAGACATCTCTTTACACCTTTTGATGTGTGCTTGGGGTAATCGGAGGAATCTTCTGGTAATTGGAGGAATCTTAGTTTTTCCGTGTAAAGCATGAGGTCCACTGGCAGCAGAACAGAACCAGAGCATGATGTTGCCACCTCCATGCTCCATGGTAGGTTTGGTGTTCTTGGGCTTAAAGGCCTCACCTTCTCTCCTCCACACGTATTTCTGGTCACTGTGGCCAAAAAGTTTTGTTTTTGTTCCATCTGACCACAGAACGTTCCTCCAGAAGGCCTTTTCTTTGTCCATGTGATCAGCAGCAGACTTCAGTGGAGCTTTAAGGTTCTGCTTCTAGACGAAGAACTTCCTTCTTGCACAGCAGCTTCTCAGCTCAGGTTGATGTGGAACACTGTGGACGCTGTCTCCTGTGTTCCAGCAGCTTCTGATTCATTGCAGAGCTGCTTCTTGGTGACTCTTGACCATCCTGACATGTGACACAACTGCACCGTGAACTTTATACTTATAAATGATGGTTCACACAGATGATTTCTGGATCTGTAGCTGCTTTCAAATGGCTCTCACTGACTTTCCTAACTTGTTCAAGCCGACGATTCCCTTTTTCAGATCTGCACTCAGCTCCTTTCTAAGTGTTGTGTTTGTAGCTGAATCTGATTGGTGTGTCAGATGGGCCCGACATCAGAGGAGTCAGCAGCTGTAGTCAGTCGTAATCACTGACGAGAAGTTCAGAGGCCACGAAGAAACTCACAGCTTTCTAGATCACCAAAACAGATCATTCACGTTTCAACCTCAAAATCATCATCAGAAGGTTGGTGTTGGACACAGAAACGGTGAAATCAGTCCAGGTTCTAGACCGGCCTCCCTGAACCTGTGGACTGTGCTGAAGAAACAAGTGTGTGTCAGAAAGCCAACAGATTTAGATGAACTGCACCAGTTCTGTCGGGAGGAGGGTCAAAGACACCATCAGGAGCTCGATGAAAGCTACGATGAAACAGGCCAAAGGACATTTAAGCAGTTATTAGCATTGCTGTACGTATATTTTTGATGCAGTAGATTTGATCATATTTCCTGTAATGAACCAACATGATGACTGGTTTTTGTGACAAAGATGTTTCAGTGATTCCATTTTAGAAAATTCAGAATTAAATCTTCACATGTGGTCTTTACAAGCGAAGAGTTCATTTGCAAAAACATCTTCACAAACCTTCAGAAAACCCATTTTTCCATCGTCTACCTGAGACAACATCAGTCAAACTTCGGTTATCTCTACTGTTGTCATTTCTACTCAGCTTCAGTTTGATTGATTATCATCTCAAGCAAACAACAAAAAATATGTTTTCTGGAAATCTATGGAAATGGAATTTTCTGTTTTCGCAAATGAACTCTTCAAGTGAACGAACACGTTTGTTCTGTATCTGAAACGACCAACATGGAATACTTGGAAAGGATGACGAAGGCGATGAATTCCAGTAAATATTTTATGAGCAGGATGCTGAGATTCTTCTGAAGATTTCATTAATGGTTCCATTAATATTTCCCAGACTTTCTTCGCTGTCGTTTCTCTCCTTCCACCATATTCTCATAGGATTAGTTGCTCAAAGGTCGAATCATCACCAGATGAACCAGCGAAACCCAAATCTCTCCTCTTGTTCAGTCACATCATCCATTTAGCAGCCAGAGCACTACTGTAAGTGATTATAACAGACGCAACAAGGCAGTTAATTTACAGTTTGGGTGCCGGAAAATGACGGACGTAGAGTTTAACACACATAAATAACACAAAAAGAGACCAGCTCGAGGCAGACGATGGACAAGGACGTGTAAAAATAACGATCGATTCATTATTGAGCATCCTTTAGGAATAAAGCTCAAAGCGGTGCTGGTATGTAAAATGGTTGCAGCTGCGATGCGGATTGATACAAGATGCATGACAAGCCACAGGATAAACCGGCTTTGGAGGCATCTGGACAGCTTTAGCAACACAAGATCCGATGAGTCTCTGTGTGAGGAAACGTCCGTCCTGCAAGACTCTGTTATCGCAGCGACCTCCGACCTCGTAGGGGATGAATCAGCTCACCCGGGTGCTTTTAGTGCATGTTTATCGATGACTTCGCCTGGAGTCATGTCGAAAATCTAGAATTCAATATGAGACAATTCCTTGGAAATTAAATTACCAGAAAATGTCGGTCAATTTCAGTTTCGAAACAGTTTTGGCCCGTTTTTGTGATTAGGTGAGGAGGAACAGAATCGATTTGTTCCACACATATTCAAGTTTTCTAAAACCTGAATGCATGTGGATCTGTTTCTTTATCTGCTTAATTCTGCTGTTGGTTGAACTGAATTACACTTTTTCTTTCTATACATGTGGACGCTCGCAACCAAATTTAGCAGCTGCTGTGTTTCTTGATCCACATTCCTCAAAGATTGTGAGAAAGTTCCCCGTTTCTTCCAGATGAATTCCTCTGGTCAAGCTCTACAACCGCAATACTCTGGTAAATAACAGCATTATGCGCCTCAGACACAGTATAGAGCATTTATTTATCAATTAGAGATCTTCGTGATTTAATGAATTTAAAAAAAAAAAAAAAAAGCATATATAATAGTAACCGCCTTTAAATTACAGACACGTAATGAAAGCTTACAGAGGATCACGTGATAGAAAACATAGAAAATATATTCAAATCTATGTTAAAATCTGCAGTTCAACATGTTAAATCTGTAAAAACACAAACATGGTAGCAAAGTTACTACAAAATTCCCATAAAAAATTGAGAAAAACTCGTAAAACAGCTTTGGGATGTTTTTTAGGATGTAAATCAATACTAAGTACAACAGACTGGCTTTAGTTCACATCAGAACCATCGTTTAAGTGAAGTTTTAGTTAGATTGCACAGATATTTATCTGTTTTCTAAAAGCGCATGGACGGTGTTGTTTAATCACTTTTAATGAATGACTGGCATGTACCTTTAAAACAGTATATAGTTGTTATTTACCAATTAGCGCTCCTCCCTGCCACGATGTTTAAGGTATTTTAATGAAAGTCTTACAAAAATATGACTCATGTAATAGTAAACACCTTTAAATGACGGCATGAGATGAAACCTGAAGAATTAACAGAAAACTACCACAAACATATTTGATTTTGTGTTTAAAGAATTGAAGTAAAATCTGTGAAATAACATGTTAAAATCCCCGTAAGTGCAAAAACGGTTATGTTAAGAAAAAACATTTGTAAAACAGTTTTGGTCTCTTTTTTAAAATGTAAATCAATGCATTTTACTAATTATTATCTGTAATTCAATAAAACATGGAAAATGTGTTAAACACTACAGTTGAACATGTTTACGTTTTTTCCTTTGCTCAGGTCAAGATAAGAGCTCCAGAAGCACTTTTACACACAAGACAGTGAATTTATGATGTGCTGGAAAACGAAGGTGAAACCACGACATCAGTTATACTAGAAGGATGCGGGTGATACTGATGAGTGTGTGTGTGTGTGTGTGTGTGTGTGTGTGTGTGTGTGTTTGTGTGTGTGTGTGGGTGTCAGTCATTAACAACCACTTTGTCAGAGCAGAAATATGCACTCGGTGTGTAGTCCACTGACTAAACTGCACCTCCATGGAGCAGCTGTAACACAGTGCCAGAGGAGGAGTGGTGACGGTTGGGTCGGGGGAGGGCCCATCTCATGATCGCCACCATAAGAGTGCAGAACCACCACGAGCTGCTCTGCACAGAAGTTCTCTCGTCCCACGACAGCTCGACAAGTCCTGAATGTGAGCAGGTACGTCTCCCTGCATGCTTTTCTTTGCACTCTTGCGATCCTGAGTTTGCAGACTCGTTACTGTGTGTTCAGAACGATGAGTTTAATTAGAGGTCAGAGATAGCAGCTTTCACTTGGAGGAGAAACAGCTGCACACAGCTGGAAGACAAACATGTTTAATCGGGGGTCAAAGGCACAATATTTGTCTTGCACAGCAGCTCGCATGGAGGAGTTTGTGATGGAAAACATCAAACGAATGTCAAAGATTTACAAGACGGGGGGGTGTCGGTGGGAGACTGGGCTTCTCATTTAGTTCTGTGCTCCACTGATTTACTTTGTTTGCATCTGTGCAGCGAGACACACGTCAAGAAGTGCAGCCATGAAGTTTCACGCTCTCGCCTTCGTCCTGCTCTTCGCCTTCATGTACCTGAGTCTGGCACAAGGTAAGCAGAGCACACCGGGTTTGTTTTGCACCAAAACGAAGATATTTTAGCTTAACATCTCCATTTTAATTAGAATGCACACATGTTCAGCTGTTTTCTGAAACCACGTGGATCTGGTTAATCTGAATTCCACTTTTTGAGGATGTGGACACTCTTAACCAGATTTAACAGAACTGTGGCTGCTGCTGTGTTTCTTAATCTACATTCCTTTATTATGACTGTGAGAAACGTCCCTCTGACAATGAGATGAATTCCTCTGGTCACAGTCTGCGACCACAACACTTCATACCAAACAGTCGAGGTTTTTGTGTGGCGACAGAATCAGAAAACAGAGAAAAAAAACACACTGAATTGAATTAAGTTGCTGATTTTCATTTAAAAAATCCCCCTCAGCACAACATAGAGCAGGAGAGAGCGATGTGTTGATCTCTGGGACATGACTAAGTCACTGATGTAATTTAAACCTTAAACCTTTTTTCACCACTAACTCACACCAAAGCATGGCTGCACCAAACTAATGTAATTTACTGATTTCTACGAGTTGCAAATATGATGTTGACGAGTTCTGCAGACACGATAATGTTGCATCAGCTTCACATTGTGAGTAATTTGAACTCAAATTTCTGCAAAAAACTAGACTCAAGTTGAGGGAACTGAATTCAAATGGCTGGAAAAGTTGATTTTCTTCACTTTGAGGTCAGAACTTCACGTCCTCTCTTCTATCTACTGAACACTGAAGCACCCAATTGTTTAAATTTGCCAAATTAAAAGCTTACTAACGCGTAAAAGTTCCTTTTATACAACTTGGATGATACAGTTTTTTTTTTTTTACGGGTAATCGACTAAAAGTAAATGGTAATCCAAAACACATGTAGCTGCAGAGGAAAAGCTTTAACTTGATGCAGTTTCATTTTAAAGTTTCATGAATAAAAAATCCCACTTTTTATAATTATTTTGTGTTGTTTTTGTGCCCCAACATTATTAGTGGAGTATAACAAAGCTGAGCCCCCTGCAGCTATTTGCTTTCTGCCTTTCAATGATTAATTGCAGCAAAATATTTTGGGGTGTTAGAAAAGAAACGACGTTTTACTGGAGCACAAGTAACTGAAGTTGACGCGTGAGGAGCGGGGGGTTCGTGCACACCGCTGGGGCAATTAGTTCAGGGTTAAATAAGGGAACATGTTGCGCAAAACCAACAAGAAGAAAAGTAAAGCTGAAGAAAAACTAAACTTCTTGTCATTTTTTTAAAAAAACCTTTTTTAATCAAATGCAAGCACTGATTTCTGCTGAAGCCAAATGACACATCTGGCTGTGATTAACTGCAGAGAGACAATAAAATTAAACTATACACATGACTAAATTATACACTCGGTGTGTTTTCTGGATATTTGCACAAACTTATCATGTCCAGAGGAAACCACAAGCATCAGCGTCACTGAAGGCAGCCATGGGGACGCTGAGGTTTGCTGCTAATTCCAAACTTTAGGTTTTTCTTTTTTTTTTTTTCTGAAATCCAAACACTCTCTTGTTCCCAAATTGAATCCGAGGAAGCTGTGGAAGGAAGACGAGGGGATTTCCAGGACCATGCTGGCTTCCCTCCAGATCTTTTCAATCCCTAAAACATTTCAGCAATAACTTTCTCTTGGCAGATTGGTGACTAAACGGTGATTCATACCAGATTATGGTTTCCCTGTTTGTAGTGAGATAAGAGGCCAGATTGTGATAAATATGTGATCTTATCAGGACTAGAGGGTCCACACAAACACCCGCACACACACTAACGGTACTGCTTCACTCCTCTGATATTTTCTGGTGGGTCAGTTTACATCCGTGTGAATCTCCTCACCGTTATGTGTCTGTACAGGCTCATTTGATGACTGCTGCCTCGGTTACGTCGTCAGCCTTCCAAAAAATGCAATGAAAAACATCGTGGGCTACAGGACTCAGAGAGCAGATGGCGATTGCAACATCAGCGCCGTCGTGTGAGTAGAAAATGTTCATCTTTCACTTTTAGGACCTCGCAGAGCGTTTTTTTTGCTCCCCTGCATTGTTTAAAAAAAAATCCCTCCAAACCGTAACAAAACTGGCGAATGGAAAAAGGAACGACCTGCTCGCTCTGAAACGTGTGTTCAATGTGATCTGTGCAGGTTTCAGATGAGGAAGAGGCGCGCGCATAAAAAGCAAAAGACGGTCTGTGCCAACCCGGAGGACGCCTGGGTGAAGGAGAAGATAGAGAGCATGAACAGGAGGGCCCAGAGTTAAACAACAACAACAAAAAAGGTAAAAAACATGCACGTCAATGGCTCACAGACGACCTCTGAATGATTATTCCTCGTCATAAAACCTGTGTTTGTGTCTCTACAGGGAGAGAAACCAGAGAAGAGAGGCCTCAGCCGGCACCTTTCACCACATGGATTGTGTTTGGGTAGTTTTCCCTGTTCCCTGACACAGAATGTAAATCATGTACGCGGTTCTTCATCATATACACAAACATACTGTATTCTATAGCCAGTATAGCAGAATCCATTTATATGTGAGCCACCAGCAAGAAACTGTTCACGTCTCTGTGATGCGTAGAGCCTGCTAGGATTGAGCCACTCTTTGGCAGCTTTCAAATGTGATATAAATGTAAAAGAAACGCTTTAGGGACAAGCCGAGAGGTTTGTTTGTTTTTTAATGTGTATACGACAGATTTCCGTATTTTTGTATCAGCACTCTAACTGTACTTTGTGTTCTCCGGTATCAAATAAAGAACAAATGCAAAGAAACACTCTGGATGTGTCACAGTTAATAATTAATCAGGAAAACACACGTCAAGCTGCTTCCAATCAGCCGATACCTGACACCGGCGACTGAAAGCGGGCTTAGCTGTGGCGCAATAATCTCTCACTTAGCTTTTCTGGCATCGACTTGAGCCATTAATTCACACGATCCATCTGTCAACAGTTTGAAAACGGCCTCTCGAAACAATAGTTCTGCTGCACTCTGAGCACAAAGCCGGCTTTTATTGGCTTTTTGGTTTTTGTCCTTCATCGCTTTCATTTTAATCTCTGATCTTTGCAAAAGCCAGTGAAGAAGAAGAATCCACCTTTTGTGTGTGCAGCACATTTAAAGCAACAACTTTCACTCAAAGCGCGTATAATTAATGCTCCTGTTGGGTTTCAACCTAAATGTTTGAAGTCATCGGGCGGTTCTGCAGCTAATCTTATTTGCTTTCTGGGAAGGAATTTGGGTCAACATCTGCACGTCGTATAAATAACAGCTATCTTCCCATTTGAGACAAACTATTATCATGATTAAAAGAAGTAAACACCGTGAGAGTATCCTGGAGACCAGAAGTGGACGACGTATTCAGATAAAGGATCTCCATACTTCTTCCACCTCTGAGTAAAGCTACAGAAACAGCGATGCCAAACTAAAGTAAAAGTCTTCACTCAAAGGCTGCTGAAGTTTACTTAAGGACGTGTACATAAGTATGAACAACAAAGTCCAGTCCCAGTAGTAAAGTGAAAGTCCTGCTCTGGTCCCTCTGACTGATATTTCATCACATACAGAGCCTCATAAAAAGCATTCACCCCACTTGGAAGCTTTTTCCTCTTTGATTGCTTTTCAACACTGAATTGATTTAATTTGGCTTTTTGGACAAAAGAAACCCGCTGCTGGAAAAAGCTCAACGAGGAGCTCAGATCTAGAGGCTGGATTCACCAGAAGGCATGTGGGAGACTCTGAAGTCAACCAAGAGAAGCTCCTCAGGTCTGACGTTTGCTTTTTCACTCCTCCGTTAAGCTCTGGCTGGTGAAGAACAGGCAGCAGTTCTTGTCTGCATAGTGGCTCCCATTTCAGCTGCTGAAGCTGGTGATGCCTTCAGAGGACTCATGGGTGTCTTGATGGCCTCCTTCACTAGTCTCCTTCTTGTACCTCCTCCAGAGGAGTCATAGGAGTCTTGATGGCCTCCTTCACTAGTCTCCTTCTTGTACCTCCTTCAAAGGACCCATAGGTGTCTTGGTGGCCTCCTTCACTAGTCTTCTTCTTGTACCTCCTTCAGAAGACTCATGGGTGTCTTGATGGCCTTCCTCGCTAGTCTCCTTCTTGTACCTCCTTCAGAGGACTCATGGTGTCTTGGTGGCCTCCTTCACTAGTCTCAGTCTTCAGGAACAGCCCCCTCTAGACAGGTCTACATGTTCCATATTCCTTCCATTTCTTAATGATGGATTGAACTGGACTCTACGAGATAGCCGGTGACTTTTCGATAGCCTTTTTACGGCGTTGCTCGGTGTGTTCTTTTGTCTTCACGGTGTAGTTACAGTTATATCCAGGAGTTCTGGTTCACCAGTGACCGGACCTTCTGGATACTGGCGTCTTTATACAACAATCACTGAGATACGTTCCCTCAGATGATCTGTAGTCCACTGACCATGTGACTTCTTCTGGCTGCTGCTGTGTTGAATTAGATGAGTCACTTTAAATGGGTCAAATTTTTAAGCAATCACTTGTTTTACGTTCTATGTTTTTGATCAGTTGACATCTGCTTTCACTCCGACATGGAATCTTTTCCAAAACACCAAATTAAATTGACCAAAGGGTTGATCAATACTTTTTACTGGACCTGTGTAACATTATTGGACTATTGATGCAGAAGCATCAGCGCACTGTGAGATAAGATACGTCCTGTTTACTGAAGAAAATAAATGCAGCAGTGCTACTAAATTAATATAACTGTGTTTTATTCTGTGTAAATATAAATTAAATGTCTTTCAACACAATCCTTTCCAAAAAAACATAGAGAACAAAAGCAAATTCACACCTAAACAAAAACATCGACTTGATGTGAAAACCAGGAGCTTAGAAACATTTTAAAAATATTATTGAACATGTAAAGGTCATATAATCATTTAAACATCCAACATGCATCACATAAATGTTTTTATTTTGAATATTGAAATAATTGCCAGAAAATCAAGGACATTATTATATTAAATATACTTTAACTGATGTTTTATTCAAATTTTGCACGACCACAGGTTCATTTACTACAGCGGGTTTTAGTTTTGCTGTAGCTGCTGCTGTTGAGGCCTTATCACATGACTCATGCAAAGGGGAAAAAAAAGAGTTCTGAGCCACAAATCTGTTTTCAGTTTTGACATTTTTTCTCTAATCTTTGGTTTTTGCTAAGACATCGAATCATTGGAGCATTAGTGGAAATATGTGAGCAGCTTAGAGGCAAAATCACTTTTACGGTGGAGCTGATTTCTGAAAAGTGACACAAAAAGTGAGTCAACAGCTTTTTGGGAAAACATCAGCAGCAGAGAAGGTTGGAAATCGCCGGTTTACGCTTTAATAACGTGCTGCACTTTAAAAAGCTCGGTATTTCATCTGTTGTGTGAAAGTAACGGGCTGTCAGATGAACGTAGTGAGCATCTGGACTTGGTGCTGAAACAAAACACAACAATTCTGTTCGTGGAATGCCGTTAAAAGCCAGAAACCTCCAGCAGAACCAGGGAACTTCGAGCTGTTGGGGAAAAAGGAGGAGATAAAAAAAAAATAGAGAGAGAAGCAGTAAGGAGCAGCAAACATGATTATAACGCCGGTGAAGCCTTGAACAAAAGATCAGCGATTTGCATCTCTGAGCAGCAGAGACACCCGCCGGGCTGGCACAGACCAGCTACGTGAGACAAAACACGCAGTTAATGACATATTATGGCAGTGTATAAATACAAGGAGACAGTTAAAAGCTTTAGAATAAACAGAAGCGTAAGAAAATACACCCCAAAGATTAGAAATGACTGCAGCAAGAAAACTGGTTTCACTGAACAACTGGGTGGAAAAAAAACCCGTCCTGTTGGACCCCGTTAGCCTCCAGGTCTGCACAGCGGACCAGAGATTCTTTATATTTTAATTAAATGCAACTGCACACAGTGTTAGATGAGATTTTGACAGAGGACAGAGAATATTAAATAACACAGGACTGACGGTTTACTTTGATAAGTAATCAAATTACCAAAGACAACAGTAGGAACATGGACACTTTGGTTCCTCTGTGTGGGCTCCATCCTCCCCGGTCCATAATGAAGCCTTGCAGCTCCTGAGACATCTGGAAGCTGGAAAAAAAAAAAAACTAAAGAAGCTGGGATTGTGGTCGAGTGTTGAAAATGTTTCATCACAGACGTCACTCTTTTACTAGAACATGATGGACGGGTTGTGAAATGTTTTCAGACGTCAGCAGCGAGTTCAGGGCATCATGGTGGTCTGAGGCAGCCAAACACTTTGTTTCTCAAATACAGCCAATAAAATGCAGAAAAAAAACCAGCAATCTGCCTTCGAGCAACGTCTGTGTTACATAACACGGCTTGTTCCACGTGTACTGTCACATTCACCTTCTTGTTACAACAAAACATCACACACACACACACACACACACACACACGTTCTCTCGTTTTCTGCAAATCGACATGAAACCGGACCATCAATCAAGCAGCACCTGTCGAAGCTGCAGCTCGTTAAACCAGGTGAGCACACCGCAGCACGTTGTTCAGAAACATTCTGCTCTCCCAGTGTTTCTATTCTGGGCTGATTGTCCAACATCAGTGAGTTTAATTTCTTCCAGCTGGGAGCATTTCCTTTTTGCTTTACACACCGGAGCAAACATTTTAAGATTTCAAAACTTGAGTTTTTTTGCTGTTCATGCAGATTTTAAAGAAAAGCTTTCGTATGACTTCTCAAATGTTTAAAAGCCTGTGTGGAGTGTGGTTAGGACAGCGTGGAGGTTGTTTTCCATTAGCGGGGTTGACATGTTTTTAATTGCATCAAGGGTTAAAATCTCATTTCTGTGGTACTTTCTCAGAATCAGGAGAACTTCACAGAACTCTGAGGCCATTCCAGTGGCCATGTTCATGTCCTAGGAGGAGCCTTTAACAGGTCGCTTCAGAGATGAGAAACCTCTTAAAAAGGATGTTTTGGTGGAGTTACTGGCACTTTACATTTATTTTTAAAACTTTGCTTTGTTGTACCACGGACACACATAAAATACAATCAGTTTGGTTCCTTTCATGATGAAGGAACAACTGGACTGACAGCACTAGAAGGCTTCATTTTACTCCAATACAGAACAGATGGTGACTTTTTTCTGGGTTTTGTATATTCATCTTGTTGACTTTCTGCTGACAGATTTGTGTGCAAATGACTCCACGTGGTCCCCATTTGCAGAGATGTAAAAAAAAAACAAAAAACCATTTTGTCAGACATTTGCTGTAATGAAATAAATAAACTAAAAATGGAACCCCAAACGCACCAAAATGTCCTTGAAAAACCTTTGTGAGGGTCCTTCAAGGCATCGTTTTGAACTCAAAAGGTTCCTCAAAGTGGAAATGGTCAGAAAACAAAAAGGTTTCTCAATGCTCTGCTACATTTAAGTTGCTTTAAAACTAAATTCAGGTTGAGCTAACTAAATGAAAAATACCTTAAACCTGCAATAGAGTGCAGAAACAAACACAGCAGGCAGGTTGTGGCAAAAATAAAACAAATGCAGTTACAAAGGCAGCAAACAAAAGACGTCTGGAAGTTGTGAATGCCAAAAGCAACCAATCCAGAGAAAAGAAAAAAAGACAGAAATCTGGTGAGAAAACTCAGAAAACCACACCAGCAACAGACAAAACAAATCAAACATGTCAGCATGAGGTGGAGAGAAGAGAAAGACGAGAGCATTTATAGACAAAGAGCTAATCAGGGCGACGACACGCAGGTGGAACCGATCAGGTCCGTTTAAAAAGGA